GGATAATAGTTATGTAGGTTACTATTTTGGAGAGTATATGGTAGTTAAGTACTTTGACCCTTAGGGTGATTGAGATGGACTATATCCCCAAAAGCCCACCTATTCCTAAACCTTATGGGTTAAACCAGAGCGCCAGCTCGTGCCACCAGCCGGGCCACAGTGTGTCCAGCGTGTGCCGTCCAATGTGGGCATGATTTTCTTTGGGCAAAATACCGTATGACACGAGGTATTTTATGTTTTGAGGGAGGCATTTTTAGGTGGACCCTTGATTATCATGTGAAGCCCTAATGCAATAGCGATTATAGCGGGGGTCCGAATAGTTGCGAACATTGCGGGAATACAGCAATACGGCTATGCTCAGCGATACGTATGTAGCATGTATCAGCAGCCCTAAACCCTAAACCCTAATCCCTAGAACCCTCAGCCCTAACCATGCCCTCTACTAAACCCCAAACATCAGCAGTTTTAGGGTTTAGGCTATGGCGGCTATGGGGGATTTTTGTTTCGGGATTCAGGGTTGTAGGTTTAGTTTAGGGCTGGGGGTTTAAGGGTGTTTTCGCACGACATTTCTATTCCCACGCACCAGTGCACTCAAATGAAGGACCTTGCATGCGCCTATGCCAGTGGCCGGGGAACCGAGCATTGATGATTGTCTTACATGCCTTCTTCGTAGGGTGGTAGTTACAACGCTTTTACTGGGCTTTGCACCGGTGATTTATACAAGGGCCTTAATAATCTTAACGGGGTTTGAGGGCATATTCTACTATCATTATAATAAGGAGGTCCCAAGATCCCTATTGTATTTATTAAGGTCCCTACATTCTGCTATAGTTTTAATACAGATTTCCCAACACCCCTATTGCAATTATTAAGGTCCCTACATTAAGCCGAGGGTTGCGGATCTTCCGCAAGACTGCTGGGAGTGGGCAAGCACGGGTCCAAATTACGGTTAAGGTTTAGGGTTTAAGGTTTAGGGTTTAGGCATTGTCACACCCTGAACACTAAACCCTCGACGCTGAGGATAGCGGAGGATCCAAGTAAGAAGCTAACACTGTGATGGTTATAACCCTAAGGGTCCAAGCAGTCCTTATTTTTTGGTTTTAAGTACACCAAAAAGGCCCCAAACTCCTTAAATCATGGGCACTTGGACCCTTAGGGTAAGCTCACATCACGGGGATTCGGGCTGACATCGGATAGAATGTAGACCGCTTACAACTGGCCCACATACCACGAATCCTACACCCCCCTAAACCCTAAACCCTAAACCCTAAACCTTTGAGACC